CATCAACCTCATTTTTTAAATTTGTTAGTCTCTACGGTGCCACAAGTACTCCTGTTCTTTTTGCTAGAGAGATAGTGTCCTTTCAGCTTTGAATCCCTGGGACTGACTAGTCTAGAGCCGATCTTGTTTCTCACCATGACTGTGAACTGAAGAAGTCTCTCAGAGAATTTAACAGTATTTTTATGCATTGCGCCTGCAGCAGAGATAGCAACCTATTCCGTGCTGCTGAACAGCACTGCAACTTCGGTGTTTGAAGGGGAGCACGGCCATCACTGCAACAAGGAATCTAGCTTAAGGATTTGTGTATTTGAACTGGGAAACTAACAACTCCGAAGTGTTACGTTTATGCAGAGATAGTGACTATAGAGTGCCAATCAATGGGAATGGGAATCACAACCCATCTGAATGGGACTAAACTCCCTTTGATTGTATGGGAGAGAGGGGGTGGGTGAGGTGATATCTTTTATTGGACCAACTTCTGTTGGTGAGAGAGACAAGCTTTCAAGCTTACACAGAGCACTTCTTGAGGTCTGGGAAACATAAGCCTGGTCTACATTACAGAGTTAGGTTGAGGTAAGACAGCTTACAGTGACCTAACTCTAAGTGTCTACACTAAAACTCAGCTCCCACTGATGCAAGTTATCCACTACACCGATAATCACTCCACCCCCACGAGAGGCGTAGCGCTTAGGCTGATGTAGTTAGGACAACGCAGTGTCAGTGTAGTCACTGCGTTGCTGACCTTGACTGCGGCTGCCTTTCAGAAACCATCCCACAATGCCCCACACTGGACAGTGCAATTGGTGCAAGCGCTCCTGGTGAGGGCATGCACCACCAACACAAGGAGCATAGCGTGGACAATTTAATTACTGTGCTGGCTGTATGTTGATGTAACATAGGTCAACTTAATTTTGTAGTGTAGACTTGCCTGTACTCAGCGTCACAGCTAAATAAAATACAAGGTGGAATGGATTGTTTAGCATAAGTAGTTAAACACATATTTTAAGGGACCATTCAAGGTGAAGTGTCCTCCAATCACAGGGGGAAGGGAAGGGGAGGAGAGGCAGTGGGTGGGGGTGGGAATGGGACGAGGGAGGGAGGTTGTTGTTAGTGGGTTATCGATTGTTCTAATAAGCCATAAATCCAGTATCTTTGTTCAGTCCATGAGTTTTAGTATCTAGCAAAGTTATAAATTTAAGTTCCTAGGGTCATTTTTTGAAAGCGTTGTGCAGGTTTCCTTGAGACTGATGGATCACTATCTCTGATCTTGCTGTAAAAAGCATTCACCCACAGGCGACAGGGTGTTTTTGTCTTTTATCATTTTCCTGTGAGAGTTCATTCGAGAGCGGAGCGATTGTCTAGTTTCACCTGCATAGCTGCAATTGGGGCGTTTAGTGCGCTGCCTGTGCCATAGGCACAGACTCTGTGGGTGCTCCAGGGCTCGAGCACCCACGGAAAAAAATTAGCGGGTACTTAGCATCCACTGACAGCCAGTTCCCCCGTCCCCCCAGCACCTCATGTCCGTTGGTGGCCCTGCCAATCAACTCCTCCTCCTCCCTCCCAGCGCCTCCTACCTGCCATGGATCAGCTGTTCCAAAGAGTGCAGGAGCTTCTGGGGGGCGGGGGGAAAGAGCAGGGACGGGGTGCGCTTGAGGGAGGGGACGGAGCGGGGACAGGCAGAAGCGGGATGGGGTGGAATGGGGGCGGAGCCTGGGCGGAGTGGGGGCAGGACGAGATGGGATGAGGTGGGGGCTTGGCGGAAGAGGTGGAGTGGGGGTGGGGGTTGAGCACCCCCAGGCAAAGAAAAAAAAGCCAGCGGCTGTAGCCTGTGCTACACCACACATTGTGACAGGCATGAGCAGGAGTGTGACTACTGCTCTCTGCCTTGGTCTTATCTGAACACCAGGTAGGGAGAGATTAAAAGTTACATGGCATTAAAAATAATCATGAGCTGAAGACATCACATACAGCACTAAGGCAAAGGGACGGTCAGTCAAAGACTGGCTGTTCTACTCAGGAACTAGCTTGTTGCTACGTGTGATACGTTACAAATATTACTGGGAAATGATTTTTAGTTTCTCCCCCGTATAGTGATTTTCTCACTCTGACCACCACTGTAACCTGGTATTTACCGAAGGTCTGCCATAGACATGGGAAATGTTTTCTCTCTCTCGGGGTATCCTTTCCAGGACATTTTATGATGGGTTTATAGATTTCCTTTTGTGGAGGAGAAAGGAGAGAAAGGTAGATTTCATTTGTTTTTCCTGGGTCAGGGATTTTCCTTTGTATCAGAATATGATTAGAGTCCTGCCCAGAAGGTGATTTAAGCCAATGGCTTTTTTTGCAGAGGGCTGAACACGCCAATTCCCCAGAAAGGATTTTAAAAAGCAGATTCTTCAAAGCAGGGAACAACAAGAAGTTACATTTTGATCCAGCCATAGGCATGGCTGTTGCTCAGTGTTCATCCACAGCAGCACGCACACGAGTTTGTTACAACTCACATTAAGTAACAGGATGATATTTAATACGTGGCTACTTGGAATTTGGACTCTCTCTAAGCCATTATTATAGCAGCCCCAGGAAGTTCAGAAAAACGTGCACCCACCTGCTTCATTCAAACCAGCCTTTCTGCCTCGGCCAAGACCAACAAAAGAGCCACTATCACTGTGTATCGCTGTTTATGTAAACATACGACTGATCTGACCCCATATGCCTTAGGTGCATGGCCAGGAAACACTGGCCTCCAGTCTGGCAGCTTGATTAGTGAACATGTAAAAAGGTCACCACTGATGTGGGGAATTGGTTCAAAACAGTAAGAATGTAACTTTAGCGGTCACACTGGGTGGGAGGGGGTAAAATGGGGTCCAGCCAGGGTTACCCCTCACCCAGCACTCCCTGGAACCAGAACTGTGCAGTGAAGACCCCCATATTTTTATATATATATATACACACACACATATACACACACACACACACACACACACTCTGGGCACTAGGATCCAGGTAGTGTCTCCTCTCCCCATCATGTAGCCTTGGGGGGAAACATGCAGAGAACAGCCAGCCAGAGACTCCAGCTGGTAGGAACAGGCTGCCACCGCAGGGACCGAGGGATAGTCCAGTCAAAACTGCAGAATGTTCTGACTATCTCTGGCCGATCGACTGTTTTCTCCAACCCTCCCTCTCTATCACAGTGTCTTCACCTCAGCCTCACTCCTGCCTGTCCCTCCTTGCCCTCTTCCCTCGCCCCCTTCCCTTTTCCTTCCATTTAGCTGATCCCCTCCTTGCCGCCTTCACATTGTTCATCCTGCTTGCATGTTACACCCTTTCCCCCATTGTATGTCGGTCTTGTCTATTTAGATTGTTAGGTCTTCCGAGAAGGGACTGCCTGGTACTCTACACAGCGCCTGGCACGATGGGGCCCCATTTTGGTTGGCCCTTCGCACTACCCTTATAAACACGAGGAATAATTGGAGTAGTTTTCGGACATCACCTGAGGAAGTGGCAGCAGCAACTTTCAACCTGCGTGGCAACAATTAGCACTGTGTTAGCAGAACATCACACACTGCCCTTTGGAAACTTCACTTCACCCTTTCAACACACCTGCAGAAAGCTACATTTCCAGGCACGGCCATCCACTCGGCTTGCAAGTCTCTAGCGTCTAGCTCTTCAAACACCACAGTGCACTGAGCTGTGTGCTCAGAGAAACCCACTGGAGCATTCTCTTTCTGAAGGATGAATTCAGAAGGTGGCTTCCTCCAAGCTCCTGTTATAACCCAGGCCCCATTCCCACACCCCTTTCGTAATAGTCTCGTGTAAATTCCCATGAACAGTGAGCAGGGCGAGTGTGTTCATTTGAAGTGTCAACTCTGTACAGTTCCAGAAGCCTGCTGTACATGCCAAGCTGCAACTGCTTGCTGGACTAGATGTTTTGTAGCAAGCTGCAATTATAGGGACAGTGTCACCTATTTGTTCTTCTGGACACTGGGAGGTGATTGGAAAGAATGTTCCCCACTAATTCCCCAAGAGATGACAAAACAAAAGTTGTGCCCATCCCTCCCCAGCGAGTTTAAGTCAGCACAGCAATCAACTTAGTGTTAGAATTGCCAAGATCAGCAGAAACACAGAGGGCCTCACCACAGGGTATTTCAGTTAACTACTGATGTTGTTATTTTGAATACAAGGGGCGTTCCCCACCAGGTTGTAACAATTAGAGCCCAGAACTGTAAAACCTATGGCTCCAAATGCAATATTAATTCTGCATTGCACACATACGTAGATAATTTTTTCACATCTTAGCTCGCATTCAACAGTAATCAGCAATTAAACAGCACATGGTCCAGCTAACTTTGCTCCCGGAACTCTGATAAGACATATTAAAAATTAAAGACCATTTCTTACCTATTCGCACCTTTGATTAAAGACAATTTTACAGTCTAGTTTCAGTATTTATTATGTTTTCATTTTGCATTTCCTAAGCTAGTCAGTCTGACTTGTTTATAGTCCTTTCCCTGCTAATGTCACTTTCTGGTCCCTTTATACTAGGACAACGAGAAAGTGTAAAGATCAAATTAATGGTGCAGATGTTTCCAAGCCTTCATCTCCCCCATGATGGAGTGCTCTAGTGTCATCTTGCTCACCTGAAACGCTATCTGGAAAGAGCGGGGACTCTGCACTCTATGAAAAGGAAGATGTCTGCATGGACAATTGCATTAACTTAGGCTGGTACTGGTAATTTCACATGCAATTCTTGATTACACATACAATTGCAATATTTAAGTTTCCCACCCTCCCATTCCACAACTTTAGGCTGACTCCAGCAAACACACACTTAGCTTTACACAAATGGACTTCAGTGAGATTACTCGTGTGTAAAATTAAGCACATGCTTAAATGTGTGCAGGATCAGGACCTTACAGAAAATTCGTTTCTTCTCCTCCTCCACTTACCGGAATGTAAGTTACTTAAATGGATTTAGTTCAAACTTTATTTGAAATAAATTCATCACAGGGCAGACACCAAGCATGAGCAGTTTCAGTCATAAGGAGACTTTATGAAAGTTATAAATGAGGAAAAACAATTTAAAATTAAAGTGAAGTTGCAACCTTCACGATATAGAGTTTGCTTCTGCAAACGCTATTCCACTGGCCTACTATTGGTTTAATGTCACACGCACGTGCATACACCAAGCTAGGGATTTTCTCGTTTCATGTTTGAAGTGTTCTTAATGCCATGAGTGAAAGATACCAGCCTGAAGTCCTCTGTTTAGAGAGGGAACGGGCATAGACAACAGCAGTGTAAGTTTCCTCATCACTGCCCCACCAATGTCCTGTCCAGGCCTGATATGGAAGGACCAGCTCTAGCAGAGAGAAAGCAGACTCATCTCCATTGAGCACTCAAGCCATGGCCTCTGTGCTGACTGCCAGTTAATGCCAACAGTGGAGCTTTCTGAAGTGCACACGTCCACTGAAAACCTGGATTGAGACCAAGCTCATTTCACACAGGTCAATCAACAGCCAACAGAACATGGCTACTTTGGGTCAGTAGCAGGATGGTGAAAGGCTCTAGAGTCTCCTATTAATCCCAAGAGCCACCCAATCCCATTATATTATTAGATGAAATAAAAATCTATATTAGTGGCAACACAATGTTTTATGGGGAGTTTCCTCACATTAATGTCTTTCCAATACAAAAATACTGCACTTCACTTACCGTGAAAGTCGGATCCCGACTTCTTAGAAGCCATTTAGAATCTGAAAAACAGTTTAGAAGCATTAATAATCTTTCACATATGTTAAACAGTATAATACTATGAGCTTCTGTTTTGTCTCCCACCCAAGGATCTCAGGACGCTTTGCAAACATTTGTTCAAATTTAGCCTAATGCCCCTGAGACGTGAGTAAGCAAACCCATTTTTCAGTCTGCAAAACAGATCCGGATTGTTAAGTATTTATTTAGCGTGTGCATAGTCGTCTAGCCAAGCGATGGCATCTTCAGTGGCGTGATGCAGTTCTTCTAGCCACTGCTGAACCTAGTCATCGACAACGTGTGTCATCATCTGTGTTGTGCTGCGGCTGCACAAAGGGCTGTCACAAAGGCCCCAGCGATACTGGTTGGCTGCAGAGACCTTGCCGGTCCAGAACCTGTTCAACAGGGACCACTGGCAACAGGGCAGGTCAAAACTAGGCAGGAAAATTGTTAAGTAACGTGCCCAAAGTCACACAATCGGGGCACAGTCAGGAAGAACCTAGGTACCCTGACTCTGTGTTTGAAGTACAAGAGCATCCTTCCTCTCCAGCGGGTATTAAGATACTAAACATGTTTACCCTATATGGGGGAGAAACCAAACCAAAGCAGATTTAGCTCATGTGTGTCCAAAACCCTATTTTCACTGATACACTTAGAAAGTACGAGCCCCTTTCAGGAACCCAGTCAGGAGATGCAGAGAATTTTGCAGAAGCCAGCAGTGAAACTGACCTTTGTCCATGTGTACTTCCCACTACCTAGAGGGCAGAAAACTACATAGTGTAGATTCCATAAACATGATGTATTATTTGGCATCTTAGGACATTTTAACAGACAAACTCTCTTTAGTAAATGTTAAGAAAACCTCTGCAGAAGTTGGGACACAGGTCAAAGTGAATACAATGTGCCTAAGATATGCACACATCTACTAGCAGTCTGTGGACTACACCACCTGTGGACAAGCACAACAGAGGCTGTAACTGACTAAACAAGCACAACATGCATCTGTTTTCTCTCCTTGTTAAGTTTACAGCGTCAAGATTATTAGCCCTAGAGGCCTTTAGCCGTGGTTTCACCAGGAAGGTCTTTATTTTGATGATTACAGAGGGAAGGAAAGGGAAGGAGTCTGCTCTGGTGACTGGAGGAAGAGGATGGATTCAGAACTCCCAGATTTTATTAGCTTTGCCAATGACTTGCTCTCTGACCAGATTGATATCTTAACACTGGCGGCCACGAAAGGCCACTTTCAGCACAGCAGCAGGCAGCCCAGCAACACCCATCCTAATTAAAAGCTTTGTTTCTCAAATGCAGCTGGCAGTTTACCTAGAACACTTCCTGTCCCGATACCTCCAAGCACTAAAAAGTCTGAACGAGTGCCCAGCTAGCCCTGTCTAGGAAAAGTAGATGGGGGTTTCAAACAAGATAATCGCGCTCATATTTCAATTAATATGATTTTAAACAGCACTTAACATCTAATGTAGACAGGATTTAGATCCTAGAGTTTCATATTATGCATGAATCAAGGTCAGCACGCATTCTTCATTAACATAGTCTGGCCCCACCTACACAAGTAGCAAAGAAATCTCACCCTGACTAGGGCAGATCTATTGTTGACACCCACTTAGCACAGGCCAGCTTCCTAGAGGAGATGGAGTCTAATAGATTGCTCCCCCTAAAATGTTCCTTTTCTTAATTTAATCCTACTATTCCTGGTCAGACCACATTTATGGCACCCAAGGATTCTTCTCCTTCCTTAATGCCGACACCCTTCATATCTATGCACAGTAACATTCTCCCACTGCCTCCCCCCACCTCATCACCCCAAAATAGCATTGATTGACCACTCTTACTCGGTCTGTCTTCAAACCAATCTCCTTGGATTCCCTCCAATATGTCTACCTCCTATCAATGAGAGGACCAGATTTGAAAAGAGCATTTTAGGTGTAACATCACCTGAACCAGAGAAAGGAAAAGAACCACCTACCCTGATCCACAAGGAACGCACATGAAAACAAGGACAGGTTTCTGGTGGGGTTTTGGGGGAGGGGAACAGAAAGCATTGCCTACTAGTCCATTGAGTAAGTCTCCTAGCTTGCAATCCCCCCCCCCCAAAAAGCTATAATTGCGCTGCAGTGTCCCTTGCCGTTGAAAGGAACAAGACAGCTGTGCATTGTTTATTGCAAATTCAATGTAGTGAATGTTCTAAGTGTAACTTTAGCACCTCTCTTCCTGCTATTACACTTTCCCTCCAAACTTCACCCCACTTTCTCTTGCCTTTCATTCCTCTACTAAGTCCTGGTGCAGCTCTTCCTGCCTTTCCTTCTCCTTCCCCTCCCCACATACCATCCCCTCACACCCAGGCCTTGGAAGTTGTTAATAAATACCAAGGACACAGGATTAAACCTAGTAGCCAAAGGGATGTAATATAGGTACCACCCCCATCCCACTTCTGGCACTGTCCAGAGGACGTACCCAGGTAAGAAACCAATCTACCCCAACCTACTGCCCCTGGACCAGGTTCACGATTACCAACTTTCATAGCCACATTCAGCTTAGATGAGTTTGATCGCCCACAAACTCCTCTCTTTGCTGAATGGAAGAAAGAACATGCCAGTCTCTGCACCCCAGCTTACAGACACCTCAACTGCCCACAAGCAAGTTAGGAGTTTCTACAACTTTACCTTCCACCGGCTGCTACTCTTCCCCCCGCCCCCCAACCTCCTTTCTCGGTCTTCCTCCTCTGTGAATAGCTCCAGGGGTGTCCTCTGCTACTATTACTAAGAGCTTTGACAGTCAGCAGCTGAACTACAATCTATTTCATTGCAAGCCAGAGGGCTCTGAGCAGCAGTTTTGAGCATGCTCCGGCCTGCAAAGTACTGAGTTTGAGCCATCTGCAGACTCAGGAAGATACCAGTGCCTCAGTTTACATTCAATTCTCATTTGGAATGTTTCCTTTGCAGTTATAAGGGCTAGAAATGTAATGCACACCCTGGGAAAGTTTCCTACTCACCATGGGCAACAGATTCTTCAAGATCTGTCTTTAATACTGCTCTACAGTCCTCTATCCCCCATTCCTTCGTGATTCCATATGCAAGAGCTTTTGTGAAAGAGCAGTGCCCTTTATGACTCTCTGGGATCTGTCCAAGGGGAAAGGACTGGGGTGATTTTAGCACCCTAGTAGCCTCACCTGCCAGGTCTTGTATGCAGGTCAACAATATACAATCACTGACAGTGATAAAGGCAGAGAGATCCAGTAGTGACTGCATGAATGTGAGACTTTATTCTGTGCTCTTAAGGTTCCCCTATCACCACCCCCAGATCTGTCTGTGCGCCATGTCCCAACATGAAACTGTAGTAGTAGGATTTTATGTTTGTATTTTGTATGATTTAGAATGAAGGATAAAGAATAATGAGATAATAATGTAGCTTGTATTAAATGTACTGGTGTAGGATTTGACCATATCCTGCCAGCTACCCTTTTGGAATAGCAGAAAGGAATGGCCTAATGGGTCATTTGGTAAAGATCCATCAGCCGGAATCTGTGTCTGGGCTGATTTCAAGGCAGTAACAGACATTTTAAGATCATTACTTTGTTGTAGGTTTAGCATTTTAAAATAAGTAAAAGAATGCCATGATTGTTTTCTTGTGCATCGCACAATGTTCTGTGCAAGTTAAAATAAATAAATACATACATACACACACACACACCCCTATCTCATAGAACTGGAAGGGACCCTGAAAGATCATCGAGTCCAGCCGTCTGCCTTCACTAGCAGGACCAAGTACTGATTTTGCCCCAGATCCCTAAGTGGCCCTCTCAAGGATTGAACTCACAACCCTGGGTTTAGCAGACCAGTGCTCAAATCACTGAGCTATCCCTCCCCCCTTTTTTAATTCTAGTGTGTGTGTGAATGAGGAATGTATGTGTAACGAGATAACTGTGAAGGCCATCGCTGAGCCAGATGTACGAGGGAGGAACTGGAGACAGACGTAAGGGTGCCAGGAGGCTGCAATACACCCCTATTGAAATGTCAGAGGAGGGTAGATTGATGACTCTAAAGATGAGACAGGCACCTATCAATGGGGACAGTGGTAAAGAATGAGAAGGACAATTTAAGAAAACAAGCACTCAAACAATGATTACAGCATGACAGTGCAAAAGTCATTGGTCCGAATGAAGGGACATCACTATATAAACAGGGTGCCTTGCCATGAAACGTTGGGTTCATCCTGGCCACTAGATTGATCGGGACTGGTAACTATAACATCAAAGGTGTGTGGGGGTGTGGGGGTGTGGGGGTGTTCACGCTAACTGTTGCATCTTCAATAAACACAGCATATTGCCTTTTCCCCTGAAAAAAAAACCCACGTGCTTCTTATAAGCATAACAAAACAACTGTCCAGAGTCTAGCAAGCCTTCCCAGAGCACCATGGGCTGATTTTAGGCTGTGAGCAATGACTCATGTGAGGTAACTCGGAATCTATTTTCAACTCAACCATGTGTCATTCTGCTGATGCTTTCTGTAATACACCTCTAGGCTTGTTTATTTCACAATGTCTCTTAATTTCTGTACAATTTCCAAAAAGCACTACTGGCTTTGGAGATAGGGGATACCCCTGAAGAGGGAACAAAGAAAGTACTTCAGCTTCTCAAGGGATGCAGATTGCAGGCACTAAGTCTGCAGCCCAAATAATGCAAAGAAAGGCAGTCAAGGACCACGCAACCTATGGATTACCTAGCCCAGCTGCACTTTTTAACTGCCAGTGTAAATTGGACTTAAAGCGGCCCCAATTCAACAAAGAAAGGAATAAAATAGTAGATCACACACTATATTAAAGAGACTATACCTTTTAGACACTAAGGGCTTGTCTAAATTACCAGCCAGATCAATGGGCAGCAATCGATCCAACGGGGGTCGATTTATTGTGTCTAGTATAGATGCGATAAATCGACCGCCGATTGCTCTAGCGTTGACTCCAGTACTCCACCTCAACGAGAAGCGCAAGG